TGTGGTGACTTGTTTTTCTCAAACTGCATTTTATAAATAGCAATTTAAGCTAAAAAGTTGTCTCTATCCCACATGAGCATTTCTATACCTACCTGTAACATGAACTCCATGCTGATCCTGTTCTCAATCAGTCTCATCACAAGATGTGCTTTACACTGGAACATGGTGTAATATTCCCACGACAGTGTATGGGGGTGTTTGATAGAAAAATGTAAGTGTGATGCAGGGCTGGAAAATAAAATAAAAAAAAAAAAAGGAACTTGCTATATTGAGTTTTAGGGCATGAAAAATAAAATAACTTTTAGCGATCAAGACAAGTGTACACCAAAATTCACATTGCTTCTACCACTTCCTAATTCTGACAGGTTGATAATGATTGTGCACCTGTATGAAAAAGTTTTTTGGGTGGAACTGCCCACAGCAAGAACTTAATTGAGCCGGGTAATAAATGTTGTTCAGTTAATTCTCAAAAACACAGTGGTAGCATTAAGCCAGGGCAAAGAATCTATCACTCAAGTCCAGGAGTTACGCTTGAATTGATCCTGTGTTCCATATCTGTTTAAAAGTAATGGTACATCCTGAATATTTTATACCTAATTAAATAATGGTTGCAACTAAAGAAAAATAAATGTTCTAAGGATCATGGCAGACTTTAATGGGACGGGCCAAAGGAAATGCTTGGTTTTTATTTTAGTTAGCAACTTTATGCTTTCAGTACTTTGGCACATAAGTGTCTTCTAAAGCAGATGTTGTGCCAAGGAAGACTGTGCAGAGCATCATGTAACAGCAGCCACACTGTTGCCATAACTTGAACTATATCTGTTCGCCCTCACGCCTCTATAGGATGCCTGGGCAGGCATACCCTTTGCGTCTATAAACAAAAATATTTGAAATGGTTTAATTTCAGCTGATATCACAAGAAAAACAAATGGTGAAATCCTGAACATTTTTTTTTAAAGCAGAACTGATTTCTGGACAGTCTTAGCAGCTGTAAAACAACCCTAAAAATGGCAAAGGTCTAATTCTGGTAAGTTTTAAAACCAATTATCTCCATCAAGCTTTACACTGAAAAACACAAGCTCTCTTAAATGTGGAAGAGTAAGTCTAATATGGCACTTGGGACATACAAAGACTTTTACCCATTTCTCAATTATTAGAGATTTTCTTTTGAGATATTGCATTTGAAAATGAGTTTATTTCAATAGGGAATAAAGACTGTGGCAACTGTATTTTGTTGTGCTATCTTTTTTTTTCCTCTACAGTAAGATTTACAAGGCAGTTAAGTTTTCCATGAACAATTAACAAAAACCTTAAGAAAACGGTCCCCTCTTGTCCACTTTCTAAGTAGTAGAAATCTGGATTTGTTTTATGCTGGTTGGCAGAGTTAGCGTTGTTTCACAGAAAATACCAAACACCTGAAAACTTCTGTGTTTGAATCACCACCACCACCTTCAGGTGATTTCCACAGGTGATTCTTGCTTATAGGTAACTTAATCAAATGACTCGAAGACAAAGTGGACACTACATTTGACCTATGGCTTTAGGAGAAGAAACTGGAAGACAGGAACTGTCCTGCTATTCTGGGTAACACTTCTGTGTTCCAGGCTATGAAAGAATTAGTAATGATCAAAGAATTTAAATGTAAGGAGGAAACCAAGGTTGTGGCTCAGACATTATATAATAATTTGGTTTCAGTATAAAAAGTTTGTCCAGATTCAAATTATACACTTAATTAACTTTGGTAAATTTCTTTTCTTGGTAACTGCAACCAAGCCAGAACCCACATTCTTGGGCTGCTTAATTTTACTAAGTGCTGATTGATTTTGGTACTAGTCACATTTTTTAACCACAAATCAATACTAATACCAGTTTGTTTGCATTCGAGAGGTATGTTTTGTAATTCATCCAGAGTCGATACAATTCCTACAATTTTTAAATTTTCATTAAATCAGATTCAAAATTAGTAATAAGGCCCTAAAACTTTTGTGAAACTGAAAAAAAAGCTACCTCTCCCAAAGACTGTCTGTAACGTTCATGCTCTTGAATGTGTTCCAGATGTTTAAGGTAAATATGCCAATATGCTTCTTTTACTTTAAAAAACTAAAAAGCCTAAATCACTCTTATGATTTGGGAATGCCATAATGCAAATATGCCTGGCAGGAAACTCCATCATAATCACTATAACACAGAAACACAAAAAATAGGTTGGAGGAAAATAGTCTAGCAATTGCCATTATAAAAATGCCCTCCCTGAAAAGGCATCATTTCCCAAAAGCAGAAATGCATAAAAAAACTTGCACACAACGAAATTTTGCAATCTAGCAGATATAAATTGCAACTTGCTATTTTTAAGTGATGTTACAATTAACAAGTCCAAAATATAATGAAGAATGCAGTAGTGAAATAGAGAAATATAGTATCTAATAGTGATGCATCACTCACTGGCAATACATACATTTGGCAACATGACAATGGGATTCTGTCGATTGTATCCAAATCTAAAGTAACTACATAAAACTATTCAACACTTAACACTAAAATTTAACATTTAAGACCATGGTTTTTCTCTAGTGATTTTTTTAAGGTGCCCTTTTTTCATGTTTGCTGTAATCCTATTAATCTGGATTCAGTTTATCTGTACAGATGAATATGCTGCCAAACTGTATTGCTGCCAATTAAAAAGCCTGCCAAAACCTAATTAAGCACCCTAAATTTTGTTTAAAGAAAGACATCATCAACAGAATACCTAAAATTACTGCCACTAGTTGTGACTTGTTTTCAGCAGCATGACCATCTAGCTACTGCTTCCCTACTTGCAAGAACAGAACAGTGAACTAAATCTAAATCTATCATAAGCAGACAGGTAAAACTGAGTAATGACCTGGCATGCAAGCACAGGAGCTGAATCCAGGATTGATAACATCCAGAAAACTCTGTAGTTGGTGAAGATTCACCTGGCTGGGAAACTGGCCAACATATCCTGGCCCCCATTTTAAAAGACTCTTCCTTCTTTTTTTAAGCTCGCAAGAAGAGATCAATATTTGAATTTTAATCTGGTTATTTATATACTTGATTCAATTTCAATCCCATGGCATTTTAACTGGCAAAACCCTGTATTTGCACACTTTCAAAAGCAAGCTAGAAATAACTGCGGTTATATTTCCATCACGTAGGGACTTCTAAAGCAATAAGAACTTCAGCCGGCCCCGTATTTTCCCACTTCACCTGCACATTCCCACCCTCACAGTTCTGTCCTGACCCTAAATGCAAGACAGCAACAGCCTGTGAAGCCATGTCATAACTCAGATAATCTATGCAAAGGGAAAAAATAAACCCTATCAGTGTTATCACTGAAACCTGGATTGTTTTACAAATCTGGCTTATAGAAGCAGTCTCCCACCTCCAGTGATTAGCACTACCGAGTGGGCAGTATTGGAGTATCTAGAAAGGGATAAGGGGAGATTCCTTAAGCGAGCACTACTGAAGCTACATGAATTGAGAAATTACAGACACAGCCAACGCACATTTATGAGGGGCTGTTTCACAGACAGGTTTGGTACTATTTTCTATTTCCCCGCTCTAACTGATATGACGTAATTTCAGTTTAAGATTGCAAGGTGCTAAATGACAGTGGAAAAAGAGCAGGAAAAAAGAAACTGCTGAAAACTGAAGACACCTGAAAAAGCCTAAAGATTACCAACCACTCCAGAAATACCTTAAGTCAAAATTCTGGCTCCGTCTCTCTCATCCTCCTACTAATAAGTAGTTTTATAACAGTATTAAAAACATTTATCATACTTAATTCTCTTCAGGGTTTCAAGTGAGAGAAAACTAAAACAACAGGGATACAGTATACTCAAGATGTACTTTACGGGACTGGTAATATATGCCTTGGGCAGCTCAAGTTCTGCAGCATTTGGCCTTGTGCCGCACAACACACCCAAGGCACATATTAATGGCCCCATAAAAACATACCCTGTAATGACTTGTGGCTTAAACAAACATACTTGTCTTTCTCTTTTCCTCCTCCGAATATTGGATGCAGCAAAACTCCACCAGTCTTCAGTTCGTATGCCACTATTTGATCTAGCTCCTAAAAAGTACAACATGGACTAGTAAGCATAATTTCAAAAAATAGTGGGATATTATATAAAAAAAAAAAAGCAAAGCTTTTGTTTTCTCATTGTCCTAACTCCTAATGAAATATGTTTACAAACACATACAGTACTTTAAAATCAGGGATGTTCCTCTGTACAGCAAATAATGACAAGACATTAAAAATAGAAATTAAAATTCAACTCAATTATGTCTAAATATCACTATTTACAGAAAAGCGTGTCTCTGAGCAATAAAGGTGTTCACCGTTATCTTGCAGTGGAAAACAACACTGGGTATCCACACAGCAGACTGCAGCAGATAGATGGTCACCTCGACTCATGTCTATGCCAGAGAGAAGCCTACACTGAACTGGCACTTGTTTCTGAACTGGTGTGGTTCTGTGCCCGTAGGAACAAGCACACTTCAGGCACCATGTCTGCGTGGACTCATTATCTCCAACAGCCAACACAGCTGCTGAGCCAAATCAAATCAGGTTGAGCACAGGCACAAAGAATTGGTGCCTATCTGAAACCCCATGTTATACCAGAAGTTTCCAAACGTTGATATATGCTGATATATTGCTTTGATGTATCGATACTATATGCAAAGGAGCAAGGATACTCACTGCAGAAATGGAGGCTATGACAGCAGCACCTCTTAATCCTTACCTGCTTCCTAACATTTTATTTGAAAAACTATGGTACAGGCAGGACATTCTTCTCAAAAACAGATGATTATTAATAGAAATGTAAAAATAAGTTTTATAATGGAAATGTAAAAATCTATTAAGTTCCATCAAGAACACCAAAATCTTCAAGCCAAATATTCCATCCATCCCATTCCCATGTCCAAAACCATCCACAATACTTTTTATTTCTAAAGGTGGTACAAAAGAAATCTTGAAGCAAGCAGAAAAATATCTGGGCACAGAAGAACGTCTCTCTTGACTAACACATTTTTGTGAAAAAAAAAACAAAAAGAGAAGAAATAATTGCATATGGAGACAGTGAAAATTATTATTCACAAGGCAGTCACAGAAATTTATTTTGGTTAATTTGCTTGGTATTTTTTCTTTGTAGCAAGTAGGATACATAGCTTAACTAAGTTTTATTTCTACTGAACCTCTCTTTAGATTGCAATGCAGATAGATATAGATAACTATATTATCTTCTGCTTTTACACAGTTGTCTTTAAAGTGAAATGACTGAAATGTATAGAAAAATGCTGCTTATGGTATATCACCTGTTTAATCCAGTGGCGATACTCATTAACACCAAAGGTTTTCTTCATCCAAAGGCCATAAATATAGCCCGAGATTCCTTTTAGCACCCATTCATCTGACCTATAGGAAGAAAGAAACAAGAACTGCTGCACTTCAGCAGGTATTTCGTAAGGGATGGTATTTCTGACCAGCTCAAAATAGCCACAAGTTTCAGCAGGTTATATAACTTCTCTAAGTCAATAGAAGTCTGATGAACTGTGAACCAATTTATGTACCTTGGCACCTACAAGGGACCAATGAAACTGAAAAGCCAATGAAAACTCAACTGCTACCACCAAAGCTCAGATTAAAACATTAAACTAAACTACTTTAGCTGAAACAGTAACAATAAAACAGTGGAAATGGACACTGAAGTCAAAACAGTAGCTAATCTACAGTCTTAATTACCTGATAACTCGTTTGTTTCACGTGCACAAGTTATTTCCTCCCTGCCTGTTTTTCTTCCTTCCTTGCCTAGCTCATAATTTGGTGTACAGTAGTATTTTAAAGGCCTGTTTTGAGAGCTAAGAGGAACAACTACTAGGCGAACACAAGTTAGGAAGCTAAGAGGCACATACAGAGTCTGATGATATGAACCCCAAGGAAGGGAACCTCTCTTGAAGCTCCACATCCCTCTTGCACTGAGGAGCCCAGAACTGCACCCAATACTCCAGCAACAATACTTTGTCGCTGAAAAAAAGAGTAGGCAAAAGACTTTAAAATAAACACTGACCAAAACTTTGAAAAATGATGCAGGACACTCTGTGGGAAGGAGTGATAGGGAGCTTAACTCCCAAACCAATTTAGATATTTAGTATTCATTTCTCACTCCCTTTCTCTTGAACTTCTCCTTAATTTATTAGTTCTGTCACTCCATAAATATTTCCTATGTAGACTGCACTTCATTATCCAAACTATCTGATAAAATTTTACTTATAATAGGAAAGAATCTCCTCCCTCTCTCATTCCCACATGCCAAAGCTTACTACAACATTCAGAGGCAATGATTTCAGAGAGGACACGTTGAACCATAACCATCGCTGGAACCTTGGTATCTCCTAACCCCCTTTCAAACAAAAAGCATCCTCCTCAATTTTCATTCATGGTGCTCATTTTATTATCCTTCTGCTTTATTTATTTTTATTTTTTCTACAGTTGTTTCACTTATTCCCCAGGTAAAATGTCATACGCAAATTCAAATTTTGGTTTCCTGATTTTTAAACATTTTTTAGACAGTACTTACCATGACATTCTGGATATAAAACATCCAAAAAATTGCTGGGCCAAAGCCTGTGCTAAACACCTCCTTGTCAGTGGAGTTTCATCTATAATCATTGCGCTGTGTAGGAGATTTGTGCTAGACCCCATAAAAAGAAAACAACATTATACGAGCACAGCCTACAAAAAGATCGTTTTAAAAAGCAAAAGAAATAAAACCTCCAGAGATTTTCCTATGAGGTATTAACATCTTTTCTATAATAATCTTAATACGGGCAGATCTCCTATCATTATCACAAATATACAATTCTTTGTATAGAGCCAAAATAGTTGTTTTAACTGTCAGTCTGGTTGGGATTCATGACACCCTCTCTCCCAGGCGAAGGAGAACAAAACATAATAAAACTTCTGCACTTAACTTGATCTTAAATATCTCATGTATGACATCTCTAATGCAGAACGAAAACCTTGAGCAATTTTTATTAAAGAGACAAATTCAGCATCTTTGCAAAAAGATGCTGAACTGTGTGTATATTTTTTTTTATATTTTATATATACATATATATATATATATTTTAAAGCCTACACTGCCAACAAAACTCACTTTTTTAAACTTCGAAGCCTAAAGATCAGGCTCTGAAAGTAATACAAGCTTCAGGTATATCTCAATAGTCTTGGATCTAGTGTTTCTAAGCCCACATTTTTAGAAGATATAATTTTCTCAAATACTAACCTAAAAATACTCATGGACGCATAAGCAGCTACTTCAACATATGCTTCATCTATGAAAACAGTCTTGAAACAGGAGTACGGATAGCGACAGGTAAGAATCTCCTCATAAAACTCAAACACCTCGTGAAGGTACGACGTGGTGTGTTTGAGCAATGGCAGAAGCTGGGGTAAGCAAAAGTGTGTCACCTAAAAACAGAGCAAAAACTTAGTACAAGACTGATGAGAATATTTAAACCCATAAATATCAAGTTTATTACATAATGTAAAAAAAAATAAAGTGCTGCCACAGAAACACCATTTTTACTAACAGAATATATAAAAAAAATCTAAAAATATATATAAATGATGCTATATAAATATATGCATTTATATAAATACATATAAAAATGTAAGTTAGCAGACTTCACCACAATGGGCTAAGAAAACAAACTCTTAGCAAAGAAAATGCTATGTCCAAACGTCCAGCTTAACTTGGCATACTAAAAATCGCAATGATTTTTAGCTACCACAACTAATGGGATGGCTTTAAAGCTGTGTTGGGAAACCCGTTGTTACCAACTACAAGTAAATTAGCCTCACAAATTCAGGCCTAAATTCAACAATTGCTCATTTAAAGGATTTAAAAATACTGCTCATACAAAGGCTTGGCTTTGCACGTAAAGAACTTTAAATACAGTCATTATTGGACAAAATTTATCAAAACAATACTAACACAAACCATATCTACATATAACTATTTTCTTAATCAATATTTACTGGACCTCACTATAGGCAACAACATAAAAAACAGTTACAAATTCTTTACAAAAAAAAATCTCTATGAAGATGATTACCTCATGCATATATGGATCAACAAGGATTTCAAAAGGTCCTATGGCCAGGGAGATATTAGAAGCTGCAGTTGGAATCGTCAGCATGTAATGAAAAGTCTTCTTTCTCATATCGTGAGTATACACAGTTTCCACCAAATCTCCATTTGAAACGGCCACCATTGCAGCATCTACAGTGTACTCAAGTTTCCAGGTACACAACTCAGAATATGAATCAACACAAGGAAACCAAAATCTAAGGGAATTAAGATTGGGGGAAAATGGTTAATAATTGCATTTCTCTTTTTCACGGCCTATGTTTCTCTTGAATTCTAAATTATATTCTTAAATAGTTTGGATATTGACATCTACTACACATCAATCTCACACAGCATCCAGCTCTCAAAGTTGCCTTGCAACCATCCTAAAAGACATTATATGAGAATATGGAAAAATTACTTATAACTCCTACCCTTGGAGATTAATTAAGAAAGGTATACACTAATTAACTTGCAAAGACTTTCTTCTTACCTTGTAGAGTTTTGGTAACCACATGAGAAGACATGAGCCCCTCTCTCTGCCATGCTGCCTTCCATACTGGGTACCACAAAATGAAGCCCTCCTTTTGGCTGGTCCAGAGAAAAATTTATATGCACCTTCAGGACTTTTAACTCTACAGCAGTAAAACAGAAAGTGGAGTAAATATATAAATTTTGCCAAAGTTATTTCAGAGGAATAATTCAGTTTTGCACTCTTAGTCTTAACCAAGACTACCCATTCTCTTCATCATTCATGTTCATTCGCAGCTGAATGTACAGAACTAGAGACCTCTTAAGTTTAAATTAAAAGACAGGAATTTTTATATATATATATATATATATATATACACATATACACACATAAACACATATATATATAGTAGACTGCTGAAGTAATTTTCTACAAAAGGAGATCATTGTTAGGGTACAAAAACTGCATAAAGATTCTCTACTATTGGGGAGTTGGAAGATGAAATGTAATTCCAGTTGCAGTTTTTAATCAAATATAAACATGCCTGCAACAAACATTCTTAAAAGCTATTTTATCATCATCATATTATAGTTAAGCTTTCTCTCTAATAGCAATGCCTTTGGTTTAGTTTCACAGGAACCTCATTTATGAATAGTAACTTAAAAATTAAAAGAAGGTAACAAAAAAAAAGTTATCTTTCCTGTTACCTTGTACCTGACACACTGCACGAGTCAGTCTCACAATACAGGCTTTTTCTTTCCCTGCTACCACAAATCTCACAAATTTAAAGAAGAAAACGATAAAATCTAGCAAAACTACTAATCTAAGAAACTAACAAAAACATATAAGAAAATTATCAACTACAGAAAGCAACTTATTAAAACAGTTATTTGTTCCAGGACTTTGCATTCCTGTTTACAAAGCAGGCTATTTTTCACTGTCAAAGTAATCCTACAGTGACCCTCCTTCAAATAACACATATTTTTAAATAGTATGTAAATAGACAAATCTTTGCCAATTCTTTCTTTTACCTGCTCATGTATACTTCAAGTAGGTTCAAGCAGTTCTAGTTTAGCACCCAACACATCCCATTATACCTATACTCTTGGGATCCTGCCCCCGAACCAGCTTGATTTTAATTCAGAGTGCTAAGAGGCCCCTTCTGCAGCCACATTTCCCATACTACCAAAAAGGGTGAATGTATTTTTCAGAATTTAGCTGGAAAGATATGAGTAATGAAAAAGAAAAGAGTAACGAGCATTTCAATTATATTTATAAAATAACATCACAGCTACTGAAATTTATTTAAAATTACTACTTTCTATGCAAACTCCCAGCTAACAGCTGCATGGCACCTTAAATCAAGCTTTCCGTATCATCTCTTTACCATCAACATGTTTCCACAGCTCCGAGGGAACCTTGATGCAGAGCTCTCCATTTCCAGCATCCGGGTCCACAGCACTGACTGCAGCAGCGTAGGCATTGGAAAAATAGTTGAGATTCCTCCTGTCAGAAATACCCATTTAATTCTTAAAGCATACGCTGAACTACAAAAACCAATTTTTACAGCTATGATTTCTATAGTCAGTTTTATGATGAATGATCAACCAAGCATTTTTCCCTTCTTTGCTTGATGGATAGGAATAGTCTTCTATTATGCTCTTTTATGTGCCATAAAAAAATCTAGAAGCTAGTTTTGTCTTTAATCTGCAAAAAAATAAAAAATACTTTATCTTTAGTACATAGAAAATAAATATATAAATGTTACCATCATTTCTATGCCTGCCTTATAGGATACAGATCCTTGTAATCTAGTCTGAGCTGTTCAAGTTAGTAAATATTAGTGGTTATTGACTATACATTTCATTACAAAGTAAAAACATTACTTCAGTTATGATTTATTCTTAACTTTCTTTCCTGAAAGGAATGGGAACATGGATGTGTCAGCAGTTACAGGAGTTACTGGTGGGATGGTAACTTCTTAACTTCCAATTTAAAGAGCTCTTCTGATTGCATTTGGGTACTGAAGATTGACCAGTCAAGTTTGAAAATATCCTTCCCTTTGCATCTTTAGATCTTTTACATTCTTTCAAAAGGATTTGCAGACATGTGGACACAACACTTTTCCGAATTCTAATCCCCTAGCAGATGTTGTTTGTGAAAAGCTTGCATAACTCTACCCCTGAAGAAAAAGTGTTTTACATTTCTGCCTTTTCCAGAACAACCCAGAGCATTTAACTGTGCCACTGGTGAACACAACCACTGCAGCTGCAACGAAGCACAGAGCGCTGTGCAGCACGTTGCACCACCAGGGAGGACTCTGCCTTCCGGCTGTGGGCTCCTTTCTTCCTCTGAGGGCCATGGAATCTGAAGTCCACCCAAAGCAGACATGATCTCATTTCAGAATTTTACTTTCCTTCCTCTAACCATTCACTACTCGCCACCCACAGAGAAAAGAGCATTTCACTCAAGTTACAATACCTTACTTGAAAGGATGAAGGGTAATTAACCATGCCAGGATCATCCTAAAAGTCTAGGTGTGTCAAACAATGCTTCTATTCCCAGCCTTCCTCATCTGAGACTTAACTAAAACATTGAAATATATTGAGAACATTTTCACGCAGTTCCTGATCTTTGGCAATAGTAGTGTGCACATTCCCTGGCACCACCACCAAGACTGAGAATGTCAGGCACTATAAACCCGTCTACTTTGCTTGGAAGCTTCTGAAAATAGAACATCAAGAGTAGACTGGAGCCTAGCCTCTGAGCATAGATTCCAAAATTCCAGGTTTCTATACATTATCACTTTATCCTTTTTCCACAGGTGAAGTGCACCTAAAGATAAGGTACAATACCTGGAGGTTTTAAAAGTCTACTGTGTCTAAAGTCCCAAGGTTTGTCATTTTAAGGTACACATGCTCTGGGAATTACAGTTATTGGTAGGGGCTCCCTTTACAAAATATCAGTAAAAATTTGCTCAAATTTGTGGATTATGTGGAGCTTATGGTTACACTTTAAACATCAAAAATACAGAGACAGGAAGATGCCAAACTTTTACAGCAAGAAAGGTAGACTCTGCTGGGCTTAATGTTTTAAGGGAAACTGTCTATTCTGATATTTCATTTCTTGAGAAGTGGTCTAATCCAGTACCAAGAGATTACACTAAAAGCTCCGTACCAGACAGCAATCTTTTCAAAGGTTCAACTATTTTCAATAAACTGGATATGGCTGTTTTAACAAAACCATAGACAACATGAGCCAGAAGTTACAGCTCAAGAAATAAAGCCTTTTTTTTTTTCCTAAATGCAGATTAGCAATGAAAGAACAACACACATTCTTTCAACACACCTTTTTTCTTTTTTTTCCCTAGTGGAGATGCATTTTGTTACCAGAATTCATCCCAAAGCACTAATTGCTACAACCAGGTGTGTAATGCTGCCTCACTGGAAGTATGTTCCATTCTGCAGAGACCATTTTTGTTTGTTAAGTTACCCTTTCCTTACTAACATCTCCACATCCAACTGCCATCAAATCTCTCAGTACTAACTACAGCACTACTACTTAACTGTTATGTGGCTCATGTTTAGACTGTATATAGACTTTTTTTTCTTCCAGCATTGAACAGTCAACGTGGAATAATAGCTCCTTGATCCACGTGTAGCTAGGAAGCTAAGTAGAAGAGTAAATGTAATGGATTATAATTCACACTTGGTTTTGGAGTCTAAATCAATGTATTAATAAACCAAAAGTTTGAGTCTGTGATATGTTAAGAAAAACCTTCATCTCTCTCTTGCCAAAAGACAAGTGTTTCCTATACCCTCCCCCCACCCAAGTCATTCTTTATACCTTTTTTTTTTTTTTTAATTAAACTGTGTATCATGAATTTGCAATTTCCCCGATACCTTAACAGTGGAAACAAAGATTATTTCCTGTAGAAAAATAATACACAGCTCAGCCTACCAGTCACTTTCCTAGCTCATTTCTCTGATACATACAGGCTGAAGATGGATCCTCAGAAGAACAAACATCACAAGATACATTTATCACATCTGTTCCAATCATGCTATTCGTAACTACAACAGTAGTCAAGTTGGGGCATCTCAAAACATATTGTTTAGTATTTTAAAAGTATAGATTTCAAATAAAACAACAAAATATATGGTTGAATTAGTGAATGAACAGGTTTACACTGCCAAGTTGTTATTACACCAAAGAGATTATGCATAGCAAAGCATTTAGGCATGTTAGTTACCTTTCCAAAATGTATCTTTCTTTACAGAAAAATAATAGCAAGCTTCTCAACCAGGCACGTAAAGACATACAAAATGGGATTCAAAACACATATACAACACAAATAACTAGGCAACAGCAGAATAATCTTGAACTTCACTCATCACAGACCAAAAGAGAACTCTATCTTGAAACGACAGCTCCTTCAACACCAGTGTGTTGCAACTCTAAGCTCTTGCTTAAGGAAAAAGTCTAATAGCATTAAGAAAACAGAGAACTTCTTTGCAAATTCTAAATTGACAAGAGGCTAGAATATACGTAGTAACCTCAGGAATCTGAATACAAACCGTGTAATCCAGAAAAAATAAGTCCTACTCTCCCTCTGATGACAGATTCAATAAAGCAACATTTTGCAAGGAATTTGAAAGGGAAAAAAGGAGGAGGGAGATGACTGTAACACTCTGCAACAACTTTAAAACAAGACCCAAGCAACCTGCTCTGTTTGCTAGATTTCAAACCCTTCCTTAGAACTATGAGTTAAGTGGGATTCTCTGCCACCTTGTGTACACATGGAAAAACTCTAGGAACAGCACACAGAAGTACAGAATATGAAAGGACAGTATCATGAAAGGACAGAATACTTAATATTGAAAAGTCTGTGTTATCTTCTGAAACAAGAAAAATGTGGAAGGACAAAGGCTCTGTAAGAGATCATAAAATGCACAAGTATCACTTGACCTGAAAACACATTGAAAGGCACACTGGGAACACAGAAATGATCTGTCAAAACTCTCAGCCAAGAAGTAGTAAAATCTTCATCATAATGAGACAGAAACAAATTCTGAAGGCTTTGCTTAAAGTTCCTACATAAAGCTTTCTTTAGTCTTGATTTTCTCACCCTCTTTTAACTTTCTTATGTTTGCTTTCACACCAGAATTTTTTACAATATAAACAAGGTGTGTTTAACACCTTCAGTCTTCTTCCATTTTTTGGTGATGGCTTCCTTTTTTTTCATAATGATATTTCTGGCTCACTGGACAAAGGCCACAATCAATGACTGCTCCTCCCGCTCCCATTCATTTACGGAGCACACCTCATCTTTTAAAGTAAGTAACAAAATGCTCAGTTTCACATTGTTCATATCGTGGAAAGGCTAAAGCTACAAAGCATAGCTACTGAAAATATAGCCTTACCCTACATTTACATACCTTAAACAGCCAGCAACATCATTTATGTTCTAGACTCCTAACTTCCTAGAGGATTTCACATTTATGGCAGGGAACATTACCTCAAAAGTCACAGACGTTGCAGTCAATCTTCCCAAAGAAGGAATCACAGTGGCTTTAGATATAAGTTCTTCCATTCCTAGCTTAAATTCTTCTGCTTTCTTGCTTAATTAGCAAGAAATTTTAAAACCTACCATCTTTCACAGTAAAAGTAAGAAAGAGTCTATCAAATACCAGTATTTTTTCCACATATTTTATCCATTCTTTTAGAAATCAACACTAACAAAAACAAAAGCAAGAGAGTATTTTTATACAAAACCTTACGAAGAAGGGCAAAGGCAATCCACTGATGAACCTCCTTTCAAAATAAAATTTGAGAGGTTTTGGGTATCTTGAATTTCTGTTTGTAATTAAGAGGACAGATATTGCATTTAATCAAAATTGCCAACATAAACAGCACCCAATTATGGCCAGATATCTCAAAGAAAAGCACAAGAAGTTCCTTCTCTTTACATGTGCAATATAAGTCTTTGACTTCTGAGATAAAAGAAAAGATGCATCCTTTTTGTGAAGAATATTTGGTGACATCTGTCTTTCATAGCTATGAATAACACAAGGAATTTTGAGTTATTTGCAAAAAATATGAAATGTGAAAGCTTCAGCAATAAATTTTACAGGCTGCTCTCTCCCTGTCCTCAAATTTCAGTTATTGATCTTGAACAGGACAACAAAAAGAAAAGTTCTCTATGATACAGTTTCACAGCATTATCTTACTGATCTTCATTAGAAAGATTTATCAAATTGCTTTTTTTTTCCTCCTCATAAGCAAATAGTAGAAAGGAGACTAAAAATTTTAATAGCTGTGAACAAACTCAGAAGCCAAGAATCCCAAATTAGCTAATTGGAATAGCTGATTGGCATTTCTGTATGCTAAAACTCGCTTTTTGGCGAACAGAGTACATCACAGAGGCACTGTTATCTGAAGAGCAAAATCTGAAAACTTTCTAAGTTAAGGCAATTTTGCCGCTGAACTGAACACTGTCCTTCCAACTAGGAAATCTCGCAATCACTTTCAAGGGGACACAACAAATACCTGAAGGTCAGTGACTGAGGTGTCACAGTCGCATGATTTGCCTTATTCCTATTATTTCTTTTGAAGTAATAAGCAAATTATATAAGATTATCTGGATATGGATAACAAAATTAGGAAAAAAAAAAAAAAAAGCTTACATAGTCTTACTGAGAAAATTTTCCCCAATTTCCTAAGAACTTTAATGGTGTTAAAATATTTCTAGGCTTAGAGGTCAAAAGGAACAAAAACTACCTAGCCTGGCATCACAAAACATAAAACCCACTTTGCAGGATAAACCTACCAGAACATAATAATCTTACTCTAAACAATTTTTTTATTAATTTTGCCAAACTGGAATTAAAAAAACATATCCAAAACCACTCAAAACCAAAGCGTAATCCTCTTCTGTGCACAAATGTTGGAAAACCACTCTAAAATGATCTATACGAGAATATAAACAAGTGCTACTGCCAAAATAGCTCATTTAAAGAATGGTTACAAGAGCATAAAACTGTGTATATAAATCTTAGCTCATCCATTAAGTTCATCACAGATAAAACGTTTTAGACAAAGGTATGCTCTTACCCTGAGACACATACGAGGAATAACTGCCTAAAGCACTGAGAGCACAACTGCCATTCACTACTTTTCCCTCCATAAAGAACCTCTTAAAAAACTTCTAATTCTCTTGCAAAAGAATATGAAGAAATTTTAATAAAAAAACAATAACAGAATAAATATTGCAATTTATATTCAAAAAATACCTTCCCTGAATTAAATCCCCCTACCTAAAGTGTTTTTCACTGATGATGACATTAACCACAAGGAAATCCTCAGGGAAAACTTGGCAGTAAGAGAAGTTATGGTTAAAGCAAAAGACCACATATTTTCAGCATATTAAACATATCACTTACTGCTTTGACTCATGGTGACAAACCTCCAGCGTTGGATCATTATAGATGAAAGCTGCTTCCAGATCATTGACTCTTACTCTGTAAATTCGGCACTGTTTACTGTTCAGTTTGATTCTATTCAGGTTTGCAACCGTGGGAAATATTGTCAATTCTACATAACCCTGGGAAAACACAAATCAACAACTTCTATTAAAATCTTTATCGATTCACAAAGTAAAGAAATAAAAGATGAAGTATCAGTTCTTATTTGTGCATCTTCAAAGAAAATCATAGGAAAAGTTAATACAAACTTAGATGTTGTACTTAAAGGGAATTATGTTTCCTTTTAGATAAAATTTAGCCTAGTGAATCTCCCCAGCTGTGAAATTAAAAAAAAGAAAAAGAAAAAGAAAAACACACACATAAGATCATCAAATAAAAACTCATACTCCAGAAGTGACTTATCTCTATTGACCAGCTTTCAAGTTACCAGCATCCTTTTCTACCACTGTGGTTTAGATCCTGGTACTTGAGCTTGAGACTGTGATTTTTAAAGTCTAAGCAGAATACATTTAGGCAGATATCTAAATTTGCTAAGATCTCCAAATCCTTACACTCTCTTCAAAGCTCAATTGAACTCATATGGAAGCTACAAAACTCTGTAACCCTATCCCTAATGTCAGCTGACCCCGTGCTGAGAGGTGATTCTGAATTGCGAATTGTTTGTAATACTTAAAATACAAACACCTTCTTCTAAGAAAGCTTCTCCTCAGAGATTAAAGTATTCACTATTACAAGCTGTTTTATTTGATACATTTCAAGGAATGACAGGCTAATGAGAGGCAGGTGACTAGAAAGCCAATAACATAAAGATGCTGAAGAACATAATCTGCTTGTGTGCAATTGCTTCCTCTAGAAACATGAAGAAAATCCAGACTTTTTTTCCTACTTTCATATTTTATTGAAAAAGTACTTACGACAACAGACTTTCTCTGAAAATTTATGTTGTTGATACAAACTACCTGATGAGTCGTGCTGGAAGAAAAAAAAAATATCTGAAATAAGTAACATGCTATTTGGACAAACACTAACATTTTAAATGCCATTTCAACTCAATTAAAATAGAGAGATCACATACATACACACACATATATGTGTATATACATATGGTATATAAATATAGTAGCACGGATAGCACATAGAGGGTAATAATGCAAAAGACATACTACATACACCATATACTTATTATAGGGAGAATTCATAATGCTCCAAGTCTCCACGTCAAAAAAATTATACTAAATTTTAAGTATCACACCACTGTGAATATTACTGTTAATACAAGAGCATAACAATATAATTTTTGAATGGTGCCTAAGAATGTACAAAAATATAATATTATATTATAAAATCAAGATCTAACGCTTTAAGAAAGTGCAATATTAAAAATGAAATGTAGCTGTAATTTGCAATGAAAGCTATGCAGGACATTTACCTGGTAAGCTGACTCTCACATACAGTTTACATAAAAAGGCATGATATATGGAAAACAACCATAGTATATGCTTTTACAATTAGTATGTCATAAGAATTTGTTTTAAATAATTGTGATATATATGTTAACCAAAGCAGGAATTTTAAGCAGTTCAGCTGTATGTTTAATTTTGAAATCTTGTTCTTGGACACTTTGCAAATAAAACAATAACTCCAACTTTTTAAAAGTTAAAGTTACATCTTTCTGTAGTATGTGGCTTCTCCATCGTGCTTTGGAATATTATCAATCGTAACTCAAGGCCCAGGCTCAGAACAACTCAACTTTTACGCCATGCCACACATTACTACACACTGATACATTTGTGCATTAAAAAACGTTGCTTCATTTCAGCTAGTTCAACAGAAATTTAAGGGAATCATGCCATCTAGTTTCCAAAGACAGATTACCTACATTATTAAAATACATATGCTATCAGGAGTAATTTTATTTTAAAATAATCGATCTATGCTACAGCTTTATAGATAAATCAACAAAAAAAATAAACAGAGACAGCCACTGAAATGGACAATGAGCAGCACTCAAAACAAAGCACATGCAAAAACACCAATTTATTCAGCAAAGCTGCTGAACACAGGTGTTCAGTGTGATCTGAACTCATTTTTACATGTTAAAAAAACATAAATGAATGAATAAATCCCCTGTATCAAACAACCAGGCCTTGACACTTCCATGCAACGTTAAGACTGAAACATGATGTAGGATCTGGAGTGTTGATATTGCTTGGGAAATTCTATATAGTTTGAAGAGCACAATGCACTTACTTATTTTTTTGGTTTTGGCAAGGTTGAGAGTTTCCTGGCCATGAGATCACACAGTATCACATCTACAACATGTACTTTCTGAGGACAAGCTACACTGCCAACTACAGCTCCAGCCTCCCCTGAGGCAGGAGACTGCTGATCAGCCTGCGGCCTGTTCCAAACACACATGGATCCCAAGTATAATAATTACTGAGGAAAACCAAAATAAAAGATACTTATAGTTTATAGGGCCTGGGGCTCTCGAACCCTTTGTCTCCCTTCTTCCTGTTCATGCTGGCAGCAGCTCGTCGCGCTCGCTGCTGACCGTCACGCAGGCATCAGCATCGTCCCCCCGCGGCGGCTCCTGGGCTCGTGGGCTGCTGCCGCC